AAAAAAATGGTTTGTATACATTTCTTTAGTATTTTTTTAATTTTAATTCAATTTTTGTAAAAACTAAAGAGTAAGATTTTCTATCGCACGATTTTTTATTCCAAATTTTCGCCTGCGGCGCTTTTCCTTTTTCATATAAAACTATATTTTTATATATATTTAGTCAAATATGATGTCCACAAGAATTTTTTGCTACAAGTCATATATCAAATTATTTCTGTGCTGTTGCTGATAAACATATCTGTTAATATAGTTAATTACGTATTTTTTAAAGAACATAAATTTTTATTTAAAAAAATTGCCATAATTTCGTTTTTTTACCTTTTCTCGTAATGTGTATACATTATATATATAGATATATATATATCGAACGAAAGGCCCTTCAATCACCTTTCCAACTGTGTCCAATAACTGGTTCAATAGTTTTCGAAATATAAGCTTTTGAAAATGTTGAAAATTCCACGTTAAGCCCCCGCTATCGCCGCCCGTCAATTTGCACAAAAAAAAAATGCCGTTAAAATCCGGAAAAGGGGGTGGGCCACGTCCACTTTTTTTTCTCTAGCTCAAAGGTCAGTATTCTTTAGGTGTTCCAATCGAAAAGGTGCGCAAGCTTTTTGTGAGCGGAGGTATTAAAGTTGAACGAACCCATCTGTTTATTAAACAATTATACTACAGCTTCTTTAGGAGGTCCTCAATATGCTTTGAAAATGAACACAAAACGATAATAAAAGAAAAACCTTGAAAGCCTTAACTTTTGCTTACAGTGCACGTGGTAGCTCTGAGGATTGGGGTTATCATTTAAATATCGCGATTGAGGCCGCGTTCATGCACTTCTTGATTGATTGATTTATTTAGTAATAATTTGATTACTTGTAATTAAAGTGATACTATTTACCATAACATTCCGACGACAGCCGGTTCTACGTACCGGAATGACTCGGGTTTTATCCGACCAAGGGCTGTTGTTTCGGCGATCTAACCCCGTTTAGGTCGGCGAAGTATCTCAGAAGTTGTCCGTCCATAGGGCTACATTCACTACGTATTCTTCTACTCAGGGCTGGCATCGAGTCAAACCCAGGGCCAGAAACCTACACCTGCTGTGTATGCCGGAGACGATTACACCACAACTCCACCTCAGTCAAGTGTAATGCCTGCGAGGGGTGGAGTCACCTCAGAGTCTGCTCGGGACTACGGACACATCGACAGTGGACCACGTCGTACGTGGCCCCCCTATTGCTCAAACAGAGCAGCCTCCACGGCTAACCTCAGTCCGCTCGAGCAGCCTCACACAGTCACCACAACACAACAACACAATAACACCACAGACCATACCACAGCCACGACAGACCACATAACACACACAACCGCACCACCACCACCACGCCGCCGTCAACAACTCCTGGTTCCCCCTACAATCTGCACGGTATGTCATACCAGGATATTCCGTAATGTGACATCAGTCAAGTGCAACACCTGCCTTGGCTGGTGCCACTTTAGGGCATGCTCAGGTCTGCGTACCACGCGAGATTGGACTGGGAACTTCGAGGGCCCATGTTGCGCTGCTCGGTCGCAGACCCCAATTGCGACGCCTCCCGCCACCACCACAGGGCGGCAATCATCACAACAGCGCACACAGCCAACGGCGGTAAGAACACACACATCACTAACACCCCACATCACGACACGTCTCCCGAACCACATGAAGCTCCTTCAATTTAACTGCAACGGGCTACAGAGCAAGATTGAGGAGATAACCGTCTTCACTTCACTTTGTTGAATTGCGCCGGGTACAACGTGCACCGTCGAGATCGCGAGCGAGATAATGGTGGTGGCTTAGCGTTAATCACGCACCACACCGTGCAGTATCGTCTAATCGAAGCAGACATCGCCCGCAGGGATACCACCCTAGAATGTCAGGGCATCGCTATCCGGTCAGGTGATGTTGAGCTCGAAATATTTAACATATACATACCCCATGTCACCTGCTGCCCGGCAGGATATCACCCTGATATAGGTGCGCTCCTCAGAGGTGAAAACCGTATGGTAGTAGGTGACTTTAATGCGCACCACGATCTTTGGCACTCAAGCCTGTCAAACGATCGTAGGGGAACAGACTTGGCTGAGCAGATAGACGATTCGACATTCTGTACAATCAACGACGACGCACCCACCAGGATTATGGGTAACTGCAGTAGCTCGCCAGACATCACAATAGTCAGCGCTGGTCTGATAAACAGCATAACATGGCGACCTATGCTGACTCTAGCATCAGACCACCTACACATAGTCATCTCGATAGTTAAACCAACCGACTTTGCCTCCGCCAAACACCGGACGTATATCAACTTTTCTAAAGCTGATTGGAAAGGTTACGCGGAGTTTACCGAAAACACCTTCACAGCGCTCCCCACACCAACCGACGTCCATCTCGGTGAACGTAAGTTCCGCAGGGCTGTCACTGCTGCTGCAGCTCGCTTCATACCGACAGGATGTACAGTGACGAGCAAAACTGTAACATGGTGTAACTCTTTTTAATTCAGCCATCGCTATATTTCCAAGTTCTAAAGACTTTCATCCTTTTGTTGTATATTCTTGTTGGTACATCCCTGCTCCCTTTCTCATAACGATTTGAAGTCAATACAACAACAATAAAAAAAACAGCAGACAAAAATTTAAATTGAGGCAGATGTTACAGTTTCGCACTCACTCTCAGTTTTGCATTTGACAGTTATCTCTTACTTAGTTGGAAGTCAGATGACTTTTTTCTGTATTGTAATTTATTGAAGAAGTGATCACCAGTAAATATTATAGTTAATCAGGAACCATAAATGTAAATAATAGATGTACTGCGGCAAGGCGGGACCACACGAAAAGTGGCAAACAATTTTGGAATTTGCTACTTGAAAATGTTAAGACTGAGAAAAAATATAGCCAAAAGTGTTCCCAAGGACAAAGGAAGTCTGTCAAAAAATATTACGGTACGATATCTTGAGAACTTAGCAGCAAGTAGCGATGCAGCCATTATTACAGAAGCGCTTAAGGTATTAAAATTTAATGCAAATCAATAGACAGCGAGGCGAAGAATTGCCAAATTGAGCGCAAAGGATCATAAAAGAAGAAAAAAACAAATTTGATCAAAATACATGTGCGAGTGCGGCAGCATTTTGCTGCATCGCACGAAATCCGAACCGTTGCCTATTGGGATATGTTAGGCCGTTCGGAATGCAATAAAAAACATATTTTTAAGTTTCAATTGAAGGTTATTTGGTCCGACAATAACTAAAACGACTAAATTAATCGCTTTCAATCACATGGCCGGGCATGCTATTGGGTCAAAGACCCAAATTAAGCCCATGCGCCGCATGTAAGGCTAACTGTGAATAACAGTGGTCGGTCAATAATAGTTTGGGGTTGTATTTCAAACATTTTCTTGGTCTGTTAGTACAGATTATGCGTGAGGAACAGTATCTGTTCATATTTCAACAAAATTTGCAAGATGTAGTCGAAAAAATTAAAGTTTCTGCTGAAAAATCACCCAAAACACACTGCACATATTCGCAAAGACTGGATACAAAAGCAAAAATTTGCTGATTTCAAATGACCTCCACAATCCGCGGACATGAATCTCATTGAGAATTTGCGAAAACAACTAAAAGCACAGCTTACTAAGTATCCAAGTCCGTAAAAACGAGTATATGAGCTGTGAAAGCAAACTAAGGATATACCTCCAGAATTTTTACAGAGATACAAATAAGGTATGCCAAATCGTACCCAGGAACTGAAACAAGCAAAAGAGTACTGAACATTGTGTTAGTAGTTCTTTTTTTCGTGAAAATTGTTAAAAAGTTCTTAAAAATGTATGAGTGCAAAACTGTAACATCTGCCTTAATTTACATTTTTTTCTGCTGGTTTTTTTATTGTTGTTGTATTGACTTCAAATCGTTATGAGAGAGGGAGTAGGGATGTACCAACAAGAATATACAACAAAAGTATGAAAATCGTTAGAACTTGGAAAGATAGCGATGGCTGAAGTAAAAAGTGTTAAACCATGTTACAGTTTTGCCCGTCACTGTATATCGGACCCACGTCCAAACTTCCCTGCCGAAGCGGCTGTTCTATCCGATGAGCGTGATAGCCTTCGTCAGGCCGATCCCGGAGATCCCCGTATCAGGGATCTCAACGCGGAGATTCGGCAACTAGTAAACGTACATAAGCGGAAGAAGTGGGAGGAGCATCTGAAGACCTGTAACTTCACCTCTGGTGTGAGCAAGCTTTGGTCAACCGTGAGGTCACTGTCTAATCCGACGAAGTACGACGACAGAGTCGAAATTTCCTTCGGCGACCGTGCTTCGTCGGACCCGGAGCGATGCGCGAGCTATTTTAGCCGGCAGTTCATACTGCATCCTCCGGTGGACAAAGCCAAGCGTCGAGTGACCAGAAGGCTGCACAAACTGCCAACAACCTGTGCCCCCTTGCTTTCACTTGCGGTGAAGTTCAGGTGGCCATCGGGAAGGCGAAAGCCTCCAAAGCCATGGGTCCCGACGGAATATGCATGCTGATGCTCAAAAATTTGGGTCCTTCGGGGGTAGCGTACCTAACGGAGGTCCTCAACTTGTCAATGGCACCTCTCATCATCCCAGACATCTGGAAGGTGGGGAGAGTGGTCCCACTGCTCAAACCAGGGAAACCTGCCAACAAAGGAGATTCTTATCGTCCGATAACACTCCTTTCCCCGGTAGAGAAGACACTCGAGGCCTTGCTACTCCCGTACTTCACAAACCACTTGACCCGTGCGAAGCATCAGCATGGTTTCCGTAAAGTGCACAGTACAACAGCACTTAACGCCATACACTCAGATAACTCGTGGCCTTAACCGAAACCGTCCCTGTGAGAGAACGATTCTAGTAGCGTTGGACTTGTCAAAAACGTTTGACACCGTCTGCCATTCCACGCTACTAGAAGATATAGAGGCCTCCTCTCTCCCACAGAGGCTCAAACGGTGGTCGGCAAATTATCTGAGTGGTCGACATTCGTCGGTAATGTTTAGAGACAAAACGAGTAAACAGAGAAAAATAAAACAGGGGGTTCCACAGGGTGGTGTCCTTTCCCCGCTACTGTTTAACTTTTACATTTCAAAGCTCCCTCAACCACCAGAGGGAGTCTCGATTGTCTCTTATGCCGACGATTGCTCGATCATGGCGACTGGGAATGGAATTGATGACCTGTGTTCGAAAGTAAACGGGTATCTCTCCGAACTTTCTCGCTTCTTCACTGCAAAGTGTCTAGCCCTCTCCCCTACGAAATCCTCCGCGACCCTGTCGCCGATAGCCGGCAGTACTTGGGGCAAAGACAAAGAAACGTTGCTGGCAACATACAAGGCAATAGGCCGGCCGGTTTCGAACTACGCAGCGCCAGTGTGGTCGCCAGGGACTAGTAGGACGCAGTGGACGAAGCTACAGACTGTACAGAACACCGCACTCAGGACAGCGACAGGATGCCTCCTGATGTCGCCCGAACACCATCTACACGGCGAGGCGCGATGCTCCCCGTAAATATAATGCTCTGCAAGCAGTTCCTGATCGGGAGCATCAGAAGTGGCCACCCAAGCAGACACCTGCTTGCAGAGGAGCCCTCGCCTAGGCACTTCAGGAGGCATCTATATGAACTGACAGACGAAGTCCAGAGGTTCATCAAGCAACCTCTGGACCCGACATCTTACCGACAGGCCCTGAACGGCATTCACAGGGTCTCAGTCTCGAGTTATGTAGACTCTAGACCTGTGATGCAGTTCCAGGCATACCACCCCCGGACATAGACGAGACGGAGCTTCA